ACTAACATTAGTTAGTCACCTTCCAGAACACCCCTTTTGTCCCAGCCATGCATCCACCTTGTCAACCTTGCTGCACCGTGGCCATAAAGAGCACAACATGTTCCACCCTGCTCTGACACCCCCCCACCCCTGCACCTCAAACCCAGCCTCTCAGACTACTCTAGCTGCTCCCCAGGCTCTTGGACACGCACCCAAAGCTGCCCTCCCAGGGCAAGCAAAGGAAAGACCACAAGCACCACCTCTGTAGTGTTAGTTACTGCACACGGTAGACCTTTATTGAGCCTTCAGACTACACACTGCACAAAGACATCAATCGCCACGTGCACGTACTACAACATAGTTACCTAGCAAGCAAACACAGAGCAGCTACATTAATACCAATCGTTCAGGCCACTGAGTCAAGAGCAAGGCATTTTGAAAGTCTGCAACAGCCTAGTGCATAGCACAAAGCGGAGGCAGTGTGAATCAAGTGACAGACTGACAGGCCAGCCTGGCACACCGCTATGGAGGGACGTGAGGGAGAATAAGAGACGTGCGTGTCTCACTAAGGGTTGCTGGCACTTACACGTTGTATTACTGCACTTTTCAGCGAGGAGCTTCCTTGGCACAGGGCCCTCCGCACTGATCAGGTTCCTCTCTCTTGCCGGCCCACCCACATTTGCAACACGCAGCCTACACATCACTTGCCACAGCCCACTGCTCACAAGCAACCCATGCCCTCTTCCACACTAATTCCCACAACGCTACATCCCCTCCCCCACCCCCAAAAAAACCATAATAGTCCTTTACCCACCACAGAGACACATACACCTTGCATCCTGAACCCTTTCCCTCCCTCCTGACGTACACACTTTCTCTGGAGTCTATCATCGCCTATTTCCTTGCCAGCTCATGGCCATTACCCAGGACAAGCTAGTACACGCTACACCCTGTTGACAGCTGACACAGTCCCTCTGCCAGGCTGAAAACCAGCTCCATCCTCAGGCTCCGCTGCTAGCTGACTCCTCCTTACACCCTCAACCTGATTTAGCCATCACTTTACTTGGGCAATTGCCAGCAGCAGAGCTGAAAACATTATCGCTACCCATACAGAGAAGTACATCCATTTCCTATTCCTTCACCCTTTATCAGGCCTGCCTTTCCAGTTAAAAAGCCCACACAGCTAGCCACAGGGATCACTCTTTTACACACACACACACCCCCCCCGGCTCCTACCTGCCCCCTCAGAACTGACTGACCAAACAGGCAAGCTGGTACTACACATCCGTCTTTCAGAGAAGCTTTCTGACAAACAGGAGGCCATCACACTGCCAAAGCTGTCATACCCTCTTATGCACAAGGACAGGGCTACCAAGTTTCCTCATTTCCCAAACCCAGGGCCTGCAAATCAACACCTATACCCATTCTGTCTCCTCAGCCACCACCCTTGCTTCTGCCACTAATGATGTTCCACCTGCAATTGCTCTCCTCCTTTCCACTCCTCTCACCACCTCCCACTGTGCTGGCCTGCATTGCGCTCTGCTCTCCCACAACAAAGCCTGCACAGAAAAGCCCAGTGTGACAGCTCCCTCACCCTGGACATCCTCCAGCTCTCCTCCCTCCACACACGCAAACCCTACTCCTGACACCATGGGCAGGCCTGGCCTTCCCTCCATACTCACTGCAAACATGCACCTACTCAATCCTCCCCTCTGCCACCGTTCAACAAACACAGGCTTTCCTTCAAATCCTCCTTCAACTCCTTCCTTCATACCTCACTACATCTTCCCCCAACCCCTCGCCAAGGATGCTGAGGAACACAGCCCACCTCGCCACCTCTCAGAGCTGAAGCATGACAAAGATCTACAACCAGCACTCCATCGACACCTCACCATCTCATAAACTGAGCTGGATGAGCAGCCCTGGTACGTGAAGGTGCACACCCCTGACAATAACACATCCCTGAGAGCAACACCCCCTCAAGCCACAGTGACACTACTGTTGAATGCTGGCACACCTTGGGAGAATCCCCAAAATGCACCACACAGCCCAGGCCTGCTCCTTTCATCCAGCCTTTATAGAAAGAGAGCTCAGCAGTACCCATGAGACAGAGACACCTCTGACAAGTGGGGATGGCTTCACTTCCCACATAAAGGGGACACCCTAACACTACCTATCACCCTTGTCACTATCTGCAAATGGTGCAGCAATGAAAGGAGGAGGAGAAGGCGGGGGGGGGGGAGGCAACCAACTCTCTCATCTCCAAAGCCTGCTCCCCCTGGGTCTGCCTTTGTACCTCCTTTGACTGCCTATGCATGTCTAGCTCCCATGACAAACAGCTACATTACCAATCTCCCTTTGGGCCCAATTTGGGGTCCTCACAGACCACACACTTCCCCCAAGGACACCTCTTACCCTTTCATCCCACAGCCACCCATTTCTCACATATCCAAGCAAGGACAAGGGCCACCCAGCCTTTCTGTCGCATGACTGTTGCTCCTGTTTCCCATGGCCTGCCTGAGGCAGG